TTTTTCTGGCTCCCCAGTGAAAAATGGGGGACAAAACTCAGAATTATGACAGGGCTGCCCATGTGATATGGCCGTTAGTTTTCTGGTTTCCATCTACCCTGCAGGTGGCAAGTTTGAAGGTTTGGGGAAATTCCCTGATGGCTAGATGCACCAGTTTCCAAAGGGATCACACTAGCATATTCAAGTATAATTGCTATGGTACCCGCCAGGTCTATTTTCAGGCTGTGCATAAGGATAAGAAACAGCTGCCCACAGATCTATAAAGTTTCTTACACAAGAACCCAGCACCTGAAAGCTGAAAGTAAGACACATGCCAGCCCTTAGGGATTCTCTCCATTCAGTAGGTGTAGATGGAGGCAAGGGAAATTTGGCTGGTCCGACCAATGACTACTAGGTCAAAAGCCCTAGATTCCAGGTCAGAGTCATGTGCAACATCTTTGGCCAATGGCTGTGCTGTATTGAGGCCCCAGGCAGCCAAGAAAATTGGCCAGTGGTCAGGAAAGTGGGCTCTATGCCCTTGCCATTGCCTGTCTGGGTGACCTTGGACAAGTCACTTTGCTCTTCCGTGAATAGAGTACCAATCCCAACTCTGCCACACACTGGGAGACCTTAGCCAATCACAGCATCGAGTCAGAGGAAGCCAAAAGGATTTGTTTTCTAGCATGCCCCCATTATGGCAATCTGTGACTCCAGCCCGGATACACACTAATGCCTATAGGAGCAGCCTGGTAGTAGCAATGAGAAAGACGTCCTTGGCCATGTTAGCAAATTGAGAAGACGGGATGGCACATTCTCAGCTCCGGAGCTGACTGTGTTGCCAGATATTTCATTTTCAAATGTTTTTATGTGTTGACAACTGTTTCGAATTGTTATAAAATTCTGTATTGGCCAATGACTCTAGGCCAGAAATGGCAGTCCACTGACCCAAGGAAGAGTTGCACTAGGTGGGGACCTGGCAGGGAGGAGTGATGGATGCAGTATCCCCTACGTGGAGAACGCAGATAATTCTGGCCAAGGGTGGGCTGGCTGGTCTGACCCCCAAAGCGCTACCGCTCCTACCCGGCCTCAGTTTCCCCAGCGCACCCGAAACGGTCTAGTTCAGCCTGGGTCTATTTTCCTCTACCCACAGGTGGGACCTATTCTCCACGCAAAGGTGGGCCTGTCGGTCGCAGGCAGAAAAGGAGTGTGTTGCAGGCGGGGACCGAACCGTCCCGGCGCTCAGGCGTCGGCTGTGGGTCCCCAGCCTCCTGGGTACGGCCAAAGCCGAGACGCGCGGCGATGCACGTTGCAAACACCGCTGCGGGCAGGTGCGGCCCCGGCGGCCCCGGCAGTTCCGGCCGCGCTCACCGCCAAGGCTGCCGAGAAAGCGCAGCGCGCGGGGCCGCAGGGCGGCGGGCGGGGAACTCGCGTCCCGGGCGCGGCGGCGGCGGCGGCGGGGCCGGGAGCCTGAGCCGCAGCCGGTGAAGGTCCTGAAACGAACGGTACGTATTTGTTGGGAGGCAATTCGATCCTCCAGCCCTTTCCTGCCTGAGCTTAAAAATGGATTCTCCATCTGCTGCGAAAGCCTCGGGCTCTAGGCGGCTGTACCCTGGCCCCTGTGATTTGGGGGGAGCCCTGCAGAACCCCCCGACCCCCGGGGGCCCTTGTTCCACCTGCCCCTCTGCTCTGACACACACTGGCGCTCCCTGACGTTGGTGTTCCTTTCAAAGCCCCGTCGTCTATTCCAGCCAAGCCCAAAGGAGGTGATGAGCTGTCAAGTTCAAATAAAGAAACCCATTTTCTATAAAATTCAATTTGTCCAAAAGAACTTTGAAGACGGATGACAACATACAAGGACACTGTTACCCTCACGCTATTGGTGAGACATAAAAAATAAATTTAAAAAAAAACCAGATAAAACCTCCTTGGAGGCAGTTTTGACATTTATGAATTTACAGTTGTTATTTCGTTTGTCCCCAGAATCTCACTTTTTTGAAAATTTTCCTACACAGTGCATTCAAAAATATTTACTATGTCATTTTAGTGATAATGAAAAAGTGGAAATAACCCAACTGCTCATCAATATATAAATAAAATGGTTGAATAAATAATGAGTACACAAATCAAGAAATACTGTATATAAAAGACTTGTGTTCACAGGCAAACAGATCTAAGCTTATGTTAAATGAAAAAAAGTAAGTTATAAAAGACAGTGGATATGGTAGGATTCTATATTTGTTAAAATGCCAAAAGAAATTGTAAGTAAATGTCTACAACTCACTGGGATATGATTAGTGACTTTCTATTTCATGGATGATTATACAAGAAATATATGTATATTTTATATGTACATACATCTGGAGAAATATATACCTGTTACATTGTTTATCTTTGGGGTGACCTGAGAGGAGGAAATGTGGAGCATTAACTTCCCACACTATGTATTTTTTCAAAGTTCGATTCCTTTTAAAATAAGCACGCAATGGGGCGTCTGGGTGGCTCAGTCATTAAGCGTCTGCCTTCGGCTCAGGTCAGGATCCTAGGGTCCTAGGATTGAGCCCCGCATCAGGCTCCCTGCTCCCCGGGAAGCCTGCTTCTCCCTCTCCCACTCCCCCTGCTTGTGTTCCTTCTCTCGCTGTGTCTCTCTCTGTCAAATAAATAAATAAAATCTTGAAAAAAAATAAGCATGCATTAATTTTGTATTTCCCACACACCAAAAACAATAAAGATTTTTAAAAATCATACCCCTTCCCATCCCAAGACTACCAGATTGTTATCACTTGTCCACTTCTCTCTGATCTTCCCATTACTATGTTAACTTTGCCTTCAACCTCCCCTCATCCTTGCACAGTATCCAAGAAACTCACATTCCTTTCATTTCAACTTACAAATTGCCTGTTTCATGTGTGCAAATAGTTTTTTAGATCCTTTAAACCAAAAGAATGAAAGAAGTGAGAATATTACTTCCACTTCGTCTATTCATACTACTCAAACAGAAAGATTAGGTGCAGTATTTTTTTTTTTTAATTTTATTTTTGGCCCTTGAAAGCATTGCAGTTTTTAATCCATCACTTCCCAAGTTCTTTGTGGATGTGGCACATATTTTCTCTCAATGCAGCCAACCGTGAGAGATCTTTAAAACACGGTTTTTGTTTCTATCTAATCCAGAAAGGCAGATAGGTGTTATATTCTGTGGAGGAAATACCATTGAAAAGTTGAACAGGATTTCCAGGGATGAGAGTTGGAGTGGGAAAGGCACTCTTGGTTGAAGGAGGGACACTGTGAAAGAGACTAGGAGAGGGGAATGGTGACTTGGACCATGGGCTGTGATTCTGGGATTGTTTAAATTAGCCTGAATGTTGTCTCAGAAACATGAGCTCAATTCATACTATGGGAAATAAGCATGGCCACATTTCAAACACACAGAAATGAAGGGCTTGTCTGGCATTTTAAAATATTCATATAGAAAAATGGCACCCAGCAGCAATAAAGTGAGTGGGTCCACTCCCACCAACATGTCTGATATGGTTCTTATTTACACACAAAACAACATCATATTTCCTTAAGCAAAGTCTCAGGATTTTCCAGGATCACACACATAACTCAGTTTTGCTCACACCCCTGATGTCACTCTCCTGCTTTTCATATGCATTAATAACATCATTGTAAAATGCAGGTGTTCTGGAACAAACTACCCGGGTTCCAATCCTGACTGCCATATACTAGCTTATGATTTTGGTTAAGTTATTTAACTCTTCTGTGCTTCAAGTTCATGCCCTCTGAAATGGAGATAATAACACTACTCATTTTATAAGATGTTATGCAATTTAAACAAGATGATGTATACAAAGCTTTTAGAACATTAAGCCCTTCAGAATACTAAGAATAAAGCTTTAGAATATAAAGCTTTTTATTTATTTATTTCAAAGATTTATTTATTTGAGAGAGGGAGAGTACATGAGCAGGGGGGAGGGGCAGAAGGAGAGAGAGACTCCCCACTGAGCAGGGAGCCCAGCTGGGCTGGATCTCAGGAGTCTGAGATCACGACCTGAGCCAAAACCAAGAGTCCAATGTTCAACCGACTGACCCATCCAGGTGCCCCTATTTATTTATTTTTAAGTAGGCTCCATGCCCAACATGGGGCCTGAACTCAGTTCCCTGAGATCAAGAGTCACATGTTCAACTTACTGAGCCAGCCAGGGGCCCCAAGAATATAAAGTTTTTTAGAATATTAAAAGTTGAATCACAGCCACAATTACTACTTATTCTTGCCCCATTCTCCACTCCTTAAGATACTGCCATCTCTACATTCTCTAAATTGTTTGAGTTCCATCCCTTATTTAATGGAGATTCTAAGAGTAGCTCCTCCCCTGCTGCCTGCCTTCTCTCTCCTATCCAGTGGGAGGCAAACGACTGTACCATAGTCTGAAGACACCTCATTGATGGGGCACCTGGGTGGCTCAGGCGTCTGCCTTCAGGGTCCTGGAATGGAGCCCTTCATCTTCCTGCTCCGTGGGGAGCCTGCTTCTCCCTCTCCCACTCCCCCTGCTTGTGTTCCTTCTCTCGCTGTGTCTCTCTCTGTCAAATAAATAAATAAAATCTTTAAAAACAAAAACAAAAACAACACCTCATTGAAAACCTGGAGTCTGTTCTTCCTCTTCTTCTGTGATAGTTTCTGAGTTTT